CTATCTGTAACACGACATCGATTCAGCAATTTAGCACCTTTTACCACGCCGTATGATAGTCCCTTCAACATATGACCGCAGGTTCCAGTAATATCGACCGGACATTTGTTCTAAACTTCTGAACCAAAAGTGTAGTGAAGCTTCATCGGTGAAAAGAACAGATGGAAATCGTTTTTAATGCATTCTGTTATAAATTACTTTAGATTTGTCCATATGTGTGTTAAAAAAAAGATATAAGGATCACTCTTATACCCATTTAAACTTGGGACTCCATTGCTTCTTTCTTTTTTTTCGAATTTTCATTGTTGACACAGCGCTGACAAAATTCCCAGCTTGACAAAAGACTTTTGATGTAACATTCCTTTTCAAACGTGATGCATCTTAGCGGGATAACATTCTTAGTCCGCCCTTATCAGAATTGTAACTAAGTTTTATAGGATCTTCAAGAAATTTCCTCACAGTCTGTGGTAACTGCCGATCAATTTTCCAATTGCTAGTAAGGTTTCTTTTCTTACAAACTCGGCACGCTTCCCTTTATTCGCCACATCACCCGTGCGACAAATGCTGAATTATCAAAATAGAAGGTTTGAAATTCAGGGAATTCAATGCAAATGTTGCTTCGTATGTTTAGATCTAAATATGAATAAATGAGCGAGCATTAGAATAATTTTTGATTTCCTTATTACTTAGTCGAAGAGCTTTCAGCACAAAAATCTTATTAAAGTAAAAAAAAAATCACCATCCAGCATTTTCCTCGAGAATTCAGGCCGTTAGACGAAAATAACTATGCTATTTAAAAATAAACGAAACGTCTACTCAAATATGGGTATCCACTGAAAATAAACTATAAAGTGAGAAAATTATATCAGATTAACAAATAAATAAAACAATACATTACTTCTTTAAAAAATTGCTTTGTTTACGTTTAAGATATGAAAATGTGGAGTCATGTTGACTTTTTTAAGCGAAGCTTAGATGTGGCTCAAGATGGGGCACGCAGTGTGGATCGGGCTCAATTTTTAGTCGTAATTCATCGAGCTGAGTAACTGAGTAGTTACAAATTTTCGGGCAACCAAACAACAAGAATGATGTGTTCGAAACGCAGAATTCAGGATTCCTTAATTGACGTAACCATTCGCCGTTGAGTCGGACTTGATGATGGTTTCTCCTGCAATGAAGTACGCAGGTTCGCATCTTACTTGAATGCGCATATTTTTCATAAGGTATCCAGAATATTCAGGCCGTTAGACAGAAATAAATATACTGTTTAAAAAATAAACTGACATTCTACTCAGCTATGAGTATTTATTAAAAATAACGTTCAAAATTTCAATATATATATAAATTATTAGGATGATTTGAAATAATCATAATCAGGTAATACATCGAGTCTAGAAGAATCCTCAACAGAAAGCACTGGACAGCCGTTTCGCCCTATATTTGGGATTACATCAGCAGTGTGTATTCACTACAGAGAATCGAACCCGGACCGTTGCGACACGACGTAAGTTTCATATCGACTGTCCCAACTATATTTGGCCACAGAGAGT